TTGGTTCCAATGTTTTTTCGTATGCACTTCTGACACTTGTGTTTTTTTCAGACGCCGATCTTTCATCGAATCTGAAAGTGCTCAGGAGACTCTGGTGCTGCCTCACCATCTGGAGGTGCTCTCGAAAGAGTCTTTGCCGTTACCAAGGTGCTTTTGGGGAGCTGGTTGGTTCCGGTGCTGCTTGGGCCAGAGATTGTTGGGACTTGGGTGGAGCCCAATCGCAGGTTGGAACAACTAGATGTGGGCCTCTTTGAAGATATTGGAGCTGAAACAGTGTATTTTTTTTGAGTTGATCGAAAGTTGCTGATAGGTGATCAGATGAAGAAGGATTCTATTCAGCATAGGTGGCTATCCCTCGGACATCAAACAGTTGTTTTCCATTTTTTCCACATAATCTGTTCATCATTGATGAAGGAAGCCTCAGATGCGAAAGACATGGCGCTAGTTGCATGGTGCTCACTGGCTACATTTTAGTCTTGTCTTTATGGAGATGTTTTATATTTTTCGTTCGCGCCAATCATGCCCGCCAGCTTGTTCTTGGCTCCTGATGCTGGTCACGATCACCCAGATTGAGGGAACAGGGGTGAAGGGGTGCAATTCGGGACTAGGAGCAAGGACGCTACTAGTAGCTCCTGGCATCGCTACTAGTAACAAGAAACTACTAGTCAGTAACAAGGTGCATCGTTACTAGGAGCAAGGACGCGGCTGTTTTTTTTGGCTGATCATCGGCGCACCTTTTTTTGACCGGCTGAACACGCCAGCAGTGATTGATTGAAGGAAGAGTTGAGTGGTGATTCTTTAGATGGGACTTTCTAGGGAGATTCGTCGATCCTTTTTCCAATGGCTCAAAAATGGCTTTCGTTTGATGAGAGCGGAGACTTCAATGTCTAGTGAAGGTCACCAGAGATGGACATGCGTGTCCGCCACAAAACGGCATGCTGCAAAAAGATCCACGGCACGCTTTGTGGTCGACCCGACACACCCAGTCGCTTTGTGGTCCAACCAGTCGCTTGCCTGAAACAACCTCCCATGGGTTTCCGCACTCACCAGGCTGTTGTCTCGGGTCACGGGTGCGAAGACCCGGGTGCACCACCTCGTCTAAGTGGTGCGAAGACCCGGTGGCGGATCCCCGAGGCTTGAAGTCTTGTACGTCACGATCTTCTTTAACGCGTCACTGGGTGGGAAGGGTGTGCGGGCATGACATGGGTGTGCGGGTCGAGCGTGTGCGACCGGATGACAGGACTGGGGTGGGAATGGATGGATGGATGGTTGGATGGATGGATGGCACCAGCATCCTGGTGGACTAGATGTCAAGTTTTTTAAACCAGATGCCCCATGGATCCCATGGATTAGACATAAGAATGCATAAGTAGTGCCTATTGAAACAAGTTTCATTACAATTCTTGAAGTGTTTCACGTTGAAGAATCAGCATTTGGAAGGTGTTAAACCTAGCTCTGTTGAGTGATCTGCTTCTTTCATGGTGTAGTCAGCCTTTCCAGTTCTGCCAACAGCGAACGTCTTCACCTTCTGATCACTCGACATCGCGATGGACGGAATGAAAAGCTCAAACCACCCAAAGAAGAAACGCCAAGGGATGTTTTTTCCGAAGGACCGCACCTCTCTTTCCAAGGCTCAGGCTCCTGCAGTAGCTTCTCTTCAGAGACCGACGTTGAGGGGCCGCTTGGACGTTGAGTAGCTTCTCTTCGGCCCCGGTGGGACGTCCCGAGCAGGTCCGGAGTGCGACTCACCGACGGAGGATCGATCGATCAGCAACGACAGACGGATCTCCTAAGAGACGGATATCGATCGGTGAGAGCTCATGCGGAGCTCCGCAGATGTTTGGGTGGTCTCGTGAGCGTGAGGATGCGGCACCAGAAATGCCAACACAACCAACAGTCCTTGGTCTTGTCCTCAAGGCCAACAACTCCCAACTGACCGGTTGATTCAGAAGAACAACGCCATCCAAAGAGGTACAGTGAACGAAACCTTTCAGTTATCCAAACAAGCAGTTTTCAAAGCAAGCCCCAGCAGTGAAACAAAGCAATTCTTCGTCCCTTTCCGCTCTCCATTCTCTTCCACGTCTTCGTCACTTGTTCAACGAGGCTCAGTGTCGACCTGCCCGACCAGGCCGATGAGCGCAGGTAGAAACCACTTGGAAGGTCGCAGTATGGAGTATGGGTGGCGCGTATGGGTGGCGCGTATGGCTCAAAGTCTTAAAGTATGACTCAGGGAAATCTTCATCACCATAGTTTTTCCGTGTTTCCAGCAGATTTGCATCACAAGCAGACAGATTCGCAAACACTGCAGGTGGTGCTGCAGACCAGTGGGCTCTTCCGCAGCCCAGAGGTGGCGGACGTTTTGGCACGTCTGGTGCGAATAGAGACATGTAGTAAGGTGGATGATGCAGGTATAAACGGAACATGCACATCATATGCACATCTTTTTGCATGGTTTTGACTTGTACACTTACATCCCTAACGATCATGTGCCTAGCACATGCAAGACTTCAGATGCTGAAGAAATTGGACTCGTTGCGAGTCATTGGTCACGAGGAGTCGCCCAAATCCCGGCGATTGCAGTGGCTTCCTTTGGAGTCGCTCGTTCAGCATCGAACGTGCGTTACGTTGGGGCGTTTCGTCTGTGGCGTTCCGACGCCTTTTCTTCGGTCACCGTGCGGGTCCACAGACCGGGCGCTGTGGACCGGGTGGTTTGGCACCAAAACGAAAACCACGCTCAGTGGTGATCAGGACCAGTGATGTTGATCACGAACTTCACGAAGAATCACTTGCACGAGACCGACGCCCGGATTCCGAGACCCACATGGAACCTGAAAACCCGTAAGCGTGGAGGAAGTGATTGTTCTTCTTAAGATGGGTCCATGCCATCAGGTTCCATGTGGGTCTCGGAATTCGGGCGTGCTCGGATTCCAGGTTTCTTCCTCGGTTTCTCCGCCGATGTCGTTCGGCTCGTTCGCATGACTGAGGTCCTTTCGAGGTCGCATCCTTTTGGACGAGGCCCACATGGGTCACAAGCATCGTCCTGGGGCAGAGCGCCCGGTCCGAACGGTGGGGCCATGGTGTCGGTACCTGCTCGGCCCATCGAAGCAATCACATACTGCATCAGAAAGCGATGTGCATGGAGAGTGGTGCTCCTTGGAGACGGTGATCTTAATTCGGGACTTCAAGAGACTCAGCCGACTGCAGCGTTCTCGGCTCCAAGGAATCATGGATCACAGTTCTCAGGATCTGGTTGAGTTCTGAGGTGACCACGAACACCGGAGGCCTCTGGCCTCGCCTCGCCCCCCCCCAAAACCGTCTGGATTTTCGAGCGCTTCTTCAGACCGATCCAGATCGAAGGCCAACGCGAATGGACGACCCGAGGTGGCGAGGTCCAACGTGAAAACACTTCGCCCTGCGAGATCCGCCGCGCGCCGCGCGCCGCGCGCGCCGCGGAGCCCGCGATGGACGCCCTCTTCGCGTGGTTCCAGGGCCTGGGCTCCGAGGCCTCGCCGCTGCAGGTGCACGAGGTGGCGCCGGCGACGGCCGCGGGCGCTGCAGGTGCTGGCGCGGAGGGTGCTGCGTGCCTTGAGCGCAGAGGATGCTGAAGATGGAAAGAAACGCTGGGAACGAGGTGAAGAGGTGAAAAAGAGGTGGAAGGTGCATCGTGGTAGCCTTTGGTCCTCGGGAGAAACGATGAGAAACGTCCGTTTCGATCTCTGGGAAGTCGGGTGAGAACTTGGGTGTGTGAGATACTGGAAAATATCCATGACACTGGGCCCTGTTGCTGGAAACCTCAGGATCAAGATGATTCCAGCATTGAGCGACAACTACATGCAGCTTGGCCCAAACCTTTTGGTTGCTTCGCAACATGCTGCAAACCTTGCGATGCCTTCAGCTTTACTCTCCCGTAGATTTAAGTCAGGTGTGAGCCAGGTCATCGACCAAGGTTTTCGGAAAGGGATGACACCGATGACACCTTTTTAGTGAGCAACGCACGAATCGGCGCAGAACCGCGCACGAAAATCGCACGACGCCCTCGCAGGTATTTGATCGTGAACAACGCCACGAAGCAGGCTGTGGCGGTGGACCCCGTGGACAGCAAGAAGATGCTGGACTGTTGCACGATGTTGTCAGTGGCTTGACGTATTGCTGCGGTGCGTCCAGGGCCTGTAAGACTTCGGCGTGGCAGGAGTGGCAGGAGCTGGTTTTGCACCAGCTGCACCCACGAATGTTTTTTTGAATGCAGCTAAGCGGACTGTTTGCAGCAACTCAGGTTGATCTGGTGGCGGTGCTCACGACGCACTACCACTCGGACCATTCAGGTCTGAATGTGTTTTCGGTGGAAGCCTTTCTTGGCAGAAGCCTTGAATCCTTCGACACAAAAAATGACTTGACACGTCAGACGGCTGTCTCTCGGGGTTTTCTAGGAAACTCGATGAAACGGACGAGGCAAACCAGCTCCTCTCGCGCACGGGTTTTGGGACACGTATATAACTTGGGACGCGGAACTGGTGGAAGGCGAACGGGTGCGAACCCACCGACTTGGGTGCGAACCCACCGACTTCGGTGAAGGCGGCAATGCGGCGCTGGCAGCTGCTCTGCCCAGCCTCGAGGTCGTCGCCGGGGAGAAGGATGCGGAGCCGTGGCAGACGTGAAGATGAAGATGAAGCACCTATAAATCCTATTCTGAAACTGATTCGTTCAACTGGGAACAAGAAGCTATTAGGGGCTCCTGGCATCCCCTAGACTTCCAAGACCATCAGAAAAATGGTAAAATCCTTAGTTGATTCGGGGTCACCCGCCTATGAAAGTCATACACAGTGGGCCTACTGTGGCTTCCTACAAATCGCAACCCCGAACGGAGCGTCGCGATCGGACGCTCAGGATCGCACCCCCGCGGTGACGCGGCGCGTGGCCGACGAGGAACGCTGCCACTGGGCAGGTGTCCGGGGCTGTCGCTTCTTTCCTTGCTCACTCGTAGCGATGCCCGGAGGTTCTGTTTGTAGTGAACCTTGCTCCTGGTAGAAGATCGAACAGGGGCACCGTTTTCTTCACCTCCGTGAGCAAACATCACCACCTCTGCGGCACTTGCTTTATGCAAATCGAACCATGGATGTGGGCTAGATTGCAAAGCGTAGATGGCTGGGTGATGCTGCGTGCAGATCATGGGGGATTCGAAGGTTTTGATGCCAAGACCACATTCTTTGGCGATCCACCTGCCCACCCGTAGGGCTCCAATTCCGCTGCCTGGCCACGCCGTGCCACACTCGCGGCCACATCTCCTACCTGCTGGAAGGGCAGGCCAGCGTTTTTAACAGAAAAGACACCACACTTGTGGATATGTCACTTCCAAAGATGCTGTTTCCAGACAGGATTTTGTTGTTGTGATATCTTCTTGAACAGAGTCTGCCCAACAAAGGAGGCACGGAAGCAGGGCCAGAAAACCGTTTTCCGTCCGTTTTTCTGTCGAGTTTGGATTGGATTGCCTCGCACACGCGTCGCGCCACGCGCACCGCACGCGGGGTCCACGCCGCGGTCCACGTGGTCCACGCGGCAGTCGCCGGGGCTGTTCTGTGGAGACACCTTGTTCGTGGCCGGCTGTGGCCGCTTTATGGAAGGCACGAGCGCTGCTTGGGCGAAAGAGAGGGCCACGGTTAGGACGTTTTCGGTGCCGTCATGGGAAACTGGTGGGGTGCTTTTTGGGATGAATGTGGATGAGATTCAGAAACTCTCAATTCTACACTGGATTTGGTGCATTTGAAGCTTGCACAATTGAAGGACAATACCCTGCACCACGCAAGATCTTCTTCGATTCTCTGTTTTCACCACCTATTGGAGAGGTGGAGACACCCAAAGGGTTCAAGGTGTACTGAGCAGAGTTGAAAGCAGATTCTCTGACATCCGCCCGCAACCTCAAGGCTTGGCTTCAAAATGAGAGGGATTTTGACATCCAAAGAGAGGAGGAAGGATGCTGTGAGATCCATGTATACAACCGATTTTCTAATTTGTCCAGGTTGAAAAAAAACGATTCAACGAGTCTCGGGCTGTTGGATCATCGGTCATCGGACTCATCACCTGCCGTTGCGCGCTGTCCCCCGGTGCGCCGGTGCGACTGGCAAGATAGGACCACCTCGCCGGTGCGAGCGGGTTTCTTCTTTGGATGATGCCACGCCACTGACGGACGTGTTGAAACCGGAATCCACAGGTCCGGTCCCAGTGTTTCGAGCGACTCAAATCAGCTGGTGGGATGATGGGCTTCTCCACTGACTCTTACTCAAGTGAGTTGAAATCACCAAACCAGGTCAGTTCCGTTCAACTCAGTTGAGGCCACCATGAAGGCGAGCCTTTCGAAGTTCCTGACGCTCCCCGAGACCACGCGGATCTTCTGCGGACACGAGTATACGGTTGCTGGGCGAACTCGCCAGTAACACTGGGTTTCTTTGTTGCTGTTCTTAGTGGGGAATGTTGCCCTCCTCTTCTATATTTCTTGCATCTAATTGCTTGTTTCTTTTGCGGGTCAAGTCTTTCTGTTACATGAAGCACCTTGGTTTGATCCATGTGACGACTTGACTTCATTGGTTTTCTTGGATTCTCATTCGAACACCAGAACGAGTGCTTCTCACGCTGTGCTCCTCCCTCATGAGGTGGGAAACCTTGAGTATGCCCTGTCCCTGGAGCCTTCCAACACTTTGCTGAAGGAACGTCTCCAGGAGGCTTGTGAAAAGCGACGGCAGCAGCTCCCCACAATACCCTCAACCTTGGCGGAGGCGCGGCACACGACGGCTGTGGCGGGCGGTTCATGTGGGGGTTCACGTGGTGTTTCGACCGCGGGTTGGCCAGAAAGCCCTTGGGCGAAGGAAGCAGAAGTTTTTGAGTCCAGACATTCTTTTGGCCTTTTGTCACATTTTGTTCCTGAGACTGCTGAGTGTTCGAGTGGGAAGAACACATTCTGAGTATCCTTCTCCGCCCTCCTCTATGTTGTTGGAGATTATTAACTCTGGGGTGTCTTGCTCCCCAAATGGTTCAACAGCACGCTTTTTTTTGTGTGAAGGACCTTTTCTTTTCTTATTTCTTTGTACCCTTTTCTCTAGACTCTTCTTTCTGCCGTCCTTTCGTTCGTTCGTTTTTTGCAAGATCTCTTTTCAGAAGCTTCCAACCCAGTTCGAACGATGCACTCAACGAACTCCAGCCTGCGAGAAAGGTCCACTTCCTTGGTCGATCGGGGGCTTCCTCGGTCGTGCAAGAGAATTGACCATGTGTGAGTAAATGAAGAATGGGAAGAACGCCATCTTGTGCCATTTTGCACAAGAATTCACCAGTCCGTTCACTTGCTTGATAACTCGGCAACCCTCTTTCAGAACTCCCCGACTTCTCCACTGACTTTCGACTGTCCGATTCTGCAGCCGTGCCAGTGAGCAACAGGAGCTCCAGCAGAATCCCTTCCTCCGTGCAGCCCAGAAGGGCTGCAGCGACGAAGAGATGAGCCAGTTGCGGCGGGGCGGCTGGGCTCGAGGTCATTTGTGTGTGTGTGTGTGTGTGTGTCACCCTTGGAGTCATAGGGATTCTTTTGAATTGTTTTCTTTTACCATGAGCAGGGGGGCACAGGAGGCCCATAGAGCTGTGCCCAACGAAGCTCTCTATGGTGACCTCAGGATATGCAGCCTGATCAGCTGCACGTACCTGCTGAATTTTAACATTTGCCGAGTTAGCTTCTGCAGTCACGCACGCAACGTCGTCATCTCGCCCTGTTCGTCGTCTTCGACCTTACGCTTTTGGCCTCACTTCCTCTTACAGACCCCCAGGCTCCGATGGTCCCTTCTGGTTTTCTTAGGAAATGGAACCCTAGGCCGGCGTGTGGCACCGCAATCAAGTCAGTACGCATATCCATGAGTGTGTTTGGCTTCGTGCCAACCCGGGATGAGCCCGCAGAGTGCCTCCCGTGGACCCGTCGAACGGGTGTACGTCGCTGTTTCCCTTGCTCTGGAAACGTAAGTGCCCACAGCGGGCGAAGGTGGCCTAGGCCGAGAGAACTCCGATTTGTCTCATTTTAGGAATTCCAAGCTGGCTCATGCCCTTACGTGACCGCAGCGGTCAGAGGTGGCAGCCTTCGGGCAAGCCGTACGTGGTCGCAGCGACCAAAGGCTGTTCAAGGTTCATTGGAACCTGTCGCGAGCTTAGTCCCCCCCTCCTCCCCCTTCCCTTCCCCTTTCTTTCTTTGCTTTCTGGGGTTTTCCTGAATGAAATAGTCAGGATCACCCCTCTCTTTCTTTGGTGTGTCCCTGGACGATTGTTCGTAGCTGGGAACACCTTCCTTTCTCTCCTCTCTCTCTCCCTCTCTCTTTCTTTCCTTCTCTCTTCCCTCTCTTTTCCCTCTTCCTTGGGTGTCCCTGGATGCTTTCGTCATAGCTGGGAACCCTTTTCCTCTCCTCCTTTGGTGTGTCCCTGGACGCTTGTGTCGTAGCTGGGAACACCTTCCTCCCCTTTCCTTTCTTCTCTTTCTTTTTCTCTTCTCTCCCTACCCCTCCCTCCTGTCAGGACCTTAGTGTGGGTTGCTACTAGGGGCTCCTGGCCTTCTTACTAGGACGCTACTTTGGTGCTTCTAGGGGTTCCTGGCCTTACTACTAGGCGCAGAGGTGCCTCCCCTCGGGGAGGCGTGTGTGTGTGCCCCTTGTAGTCACAGGGATTCTTTTGAATTGTTTTCTTTTACCATGAGGGGGGGCACAGGAGGCCCATAGAGCTGTGCCAACGAAGCTCTCTATGGTGACCTCAGGATATGCAGCCTGATCAGCTGCACGTACCTGCTGAATTTTAACATTTGCCGAGTTAGCTTCTGCAGTCACGCACGTAACGTCGTCATCTCGCCCTGTTCGTCGTCTTCGACCTTACGCTTTTGGCCTCACTTCCTCTTACAGACCCCCAGGCTCCGATGGTCCCTTCTGGTTTTCTTAGGAAATGGAACCCTAGGCCGGCGTGTGGCACCGCAATCAAGTCAGTACGCATATCCATGAGTGTGTGTATGTGTGTGTGTAATGCTTGGAATCAAAGGGAACCTTTAGGTTTGGAACAGGCGGCGTGACGGTCGATTTCCTAGTCACGCCAATGAAGCTATGGAAATCGACTGGATGGAAGTTTGGACGCAAACTTACCTGTTCCACTATTTAGGAAAACAGGAGGAAATGGTAGCCTTTCCTTCTGTTTTCCTCCAGACTACTCTACAGGTTTGCAGGTAGGCCTCCCCACTTTGTAAGGGGTTCTTTAACCTGAACTTTGGCCTCTACCCACTAGATTGGCCCCCAACCTTGCTGTCTTGTGCTTCTTGTGCTTTTTGTGCTTCTTGTAACCTTGTATTTGTAACCTGGTAGCACTGGCCTCCAACTTGGTACCCTGGCCTCCAACCTACTAGCGATGACCTCCAACTTCGCTTCTTGCTGTCACTTTGTGTCTATGGTCCACCACCTACTAGCGATGGCCTCCAAACTTAGGTTTTGTCCCCCAACAGCCTTGCGTTGACCTCCAACCCAAAACCGATGGCCTTTAAACGCCTTTAACCTACTATTTCCTGACACCTCAGACCTTTTAAGTAACTTAGGCTGGCGTGTGGCACCGCTGTCAAGTCAGTACGCATATCCATAAGTGTGTCTGGCCTTGCGCCAGTCCGGGATGAGCCCGTAGAGTGCCTCCCGTGGACCCGTCGAACGGGTGTCTGTCGTTATCTACCCTGCCCGGAGATGTACGTGCCCAGAGCGGGCGAAGGTGGCCTAGGCCGAAAGAACTCAGATTTTTGTCTCATCTTTGGAATTCCAAGTTGGCTCATGCCTTCACGTGACCGCAGCGGTCAGAGGTGGCAGCCTTCGGGCAAGCCGTACGTGGTCGCAGCGACCAAAGTTTGTTCAAGGCTCATTGGAGTCTGTCCAGAACTTAGCCCCCCCCTTCTCCCCCTTCCCTCCCCCGTTCTCTCTTTGCTTTCTGGAGCTTTCCTGAATGAAATAGTCAGGATCACCCCTCTCTTTCTTTGGTGTGTCCCTGGACGCTTGTTCGTAGCTGGGAACACCTGCCTTTTCCTTTTCTCTCCTCTCCCTTTCTCTCCCTCTCTCTTCAAACCGATGACAGTCCAAACCTCATCAAAAAAACCTGTTGCAGAAGCCTAGTTTGCTTGTAAACACGCCGCACGGGAGGAAAGAGGGGGGGGAGGGGGAGGAAGAAAAGAGAGGGAAAGAACGAAGGAAACAAAAGGTGCTCCCAGCTACGACACAAGCGTCCAAGGACACACCAAAAAGGGAGGGCTCCCAGCTATGACCAAAGCATCCAGGGACACCCAAGGAAGAAGGAAGGTGAAGAGAGGAAAGAAAGAAAGAAAGAAAGAAAGAAAGAATCCCCGTTCATTTGGTTCCCCTTTCATCGGCCCCCACAGACGTTTTTCCTTCTTTTCTTTCATGTCTTTCTGTCTTCGTGTCTCTTCATCCTCATCCTTTCTTTCTCTTGCGCGTACTATCGTCCGGACCTTAGTTTGCACACATACACGCACGCGTACTCTACTTACAACGAGGTTTAGGTGGCCCAGGTTTGTTACAATGAGGTTTGGTTCATCGGTTGTCCCTCTTCACTTGGTTCTTCTTCGTCGGCAACAACACACACCTTTGTCTGTTTCGGTCTTTTCATTTTCATCTGTCCCTTTTGCGTTGTGCGCTTTTGACGTGCGTGTTGGTGTTTTACGTTTGTTTTGTTTTCCGCATTTTCCCACCAAGGCAAGGACACCTTCACCACACTGGGGACGGTGATTACTTGGGTCTTAGATGTGAAGAGCTTCTTCAAGCCGGACGGTTGAGCCGCCGCGCCGGGCGGTTCGGACGGTTGAGGAGCAGGTGCAAAAAAAGGGTCCGGGGTACCAAAGGTCCAGATTTCTTCGTTGGAGACCGGATGTCTGGAATATATATATATATATATATGTGAGAGAGAGAGAGAATTACGTTGGCAGAAGACAGTTTTTCGATCGTTGAAGGCACCCTTTCGATGCACCTGCCTTTCGGAACGGCTTCGATGAAAGGCTTCGGTTTCGAGCCGTGGATGCGCACAAGACGCAGAGAAAAGGATGCGTTGAGTGGAGAGGGGGGGACTGGTTCTGAGTCATTCGAGCTTGGTGTGGTGACAGGGTTCATCAAGCTCTTCAGGGTCTTTCACATACCCGGTGTAGTCGGCCGCGCTGCCGTGGGGAATTGGTTTTTCCACGCGCATTCTCATCACACCGGCGGTATCAACTGTCGTAAGAATCGAAGAGGCACCAATTCCGCAGCTCGCTGTTCCAGGCTCGGCTGCAGCTCTTGCGCCCGGAGCTGCCGATCAAATGCCGCTGGGGTCGCCCAGTTTTATGCTTCAGGAAGCAAATTTGCCCCGTAAGCAACGAGGTGAGGCCAAGATCCAAGGTCCTGGAGAAATTGCTCTTATCAATTGGAGCAGCCATGTCCCATGCGAAGTTATTTTTTTGTATCTTTTTGGGGTATAGTATAGCGCTTTTTATTCCTGGGTTATTCCTGGGAATTCTGTGAAGGTGTTTTTGGTTCCGGTCATGTTGTGCGCTGGCTGGTTGCTGGTGGTTTGTTGATATGGCCAGCAAGGCGTTCTGCAGCCGCAACCTCTTCAAGCACATCGCAATGGAGGAGACATGTTCAACTGGTATGACTTCGCCCGACCAAAAAGGTTGATATGGCTTGACGTGGTTGAGAAAGGTTCAAGGAAGATGGGATAGGGAAACGAACCGGGGCCTGCTCCCGAGGTCGGCGAGACCACTGTGAGGGCTCTGAATGGGACAAAAGAAGAACAGATGCTTGGAACTGACCAGAAGAAGATCAAAATAAAAAGAGCTCTCCGCAGGGAACCCTGTATACAAACCCGTCCACCACTCGTAGCCCACAAGGCGCCCATGATGGCATGAGCAGGTGGCCAAGACATTGCCCCATGGTCAAAATGGTGAAGGCGCCAGGTGTGCCGCGTGAGCCCTGGCGGCGTCCGCCTTGTACGTCGCGGAAGCTCGGACTGGTGGCAAACTCACGGCAATTTTTGCCGTTCGCATTCATTGCAAGTTGAGGTATCAGAATTGTCACCCGATTCATAGCCTGTTCCTTCCTGAATGCAAGATTGAGGGCTGATGGAAGGGATGCAGCTTGTGTGAACTGCGCCTCAACAACCCTGAAGAAGACCTACAGTGAGTGCGTTCAAAGAGCTCTGCCCATGAAGCCACTCCGATCCCAGCAGTGCCGCGCGTGGAGCTCACTGTGAATGTCAACATCGTGATGACCCAGAAGCGCAGGGGTCATCTGGCTCCGCTATAGCTTGTCCTCGTCAATGCCGACTACAACCACGAAGTACTCAGCCCTTGAGCCGACGTTGGCCCAGGATGGAAGTCAGTGTGTTGGCGCGTTTCGCAATTCCAACATTCCTGCCTCCGGGTGATTCAGCTGCAAATGCCCAACCTGTCCACCTATATACACTGTGCCGTGACTGGCAACATCCCAGAGTCCGGAGTCCCAGCACCAGGACACCCGCGTCAGCAGGGACATCCGCGTTAATTTTGAATTCATGAACCAGGCCTATGAGAGTGGAAAGATGGCTGAAATCGGCCAGGTGACACGGCGGCGTGGATGAATCCTGTTCACGAGTCAGACTGGTCGCAAACGATGGGCAAGCGAAGACGAACACGACGAGGAAGATGGACAGCTGCAGATCCCAACCCCTTCGGTGATCCGGAGAAGGTGATCCGGTTCGAAGGTTCGGTGATATCAGGTTTTCAACTTACGACCAGTGGTTTTTCGATTGTGCCTAGTCTGGCTGTGCTTTGAAGCTCTCCCACCCCAGCTCTTGAGAGTACGTGAGTTTCTCACACGCGACCATGTGCATTTCCTTTCCTGCAGTTGTCCACCAAAAGGTAACCCACAAGTTTAATACTTGTAAATGATAGAGTATGATAGAGTCTTCGAGATCAAGGAACCTCCGAAAATTATGTCTTTGCATGGTACTTTGCCAGTTGACCCATTGCTGGGCTGGATGTCCTGCAGCATTTGTTGCTCACATTTCCTCAAGAGTTGCAACTAACTAGCCGCGGGGAGCATGAGGCGCCTCCAGCGTCACTTTGCCATCGCCTCGTTTTTTAAATCTCGCTTGACATGTCAGGAAAGCGCTTGTTATTTTTTACTTTTCTTTCTAAGCGTTTTGCTTTCCATGCAGGTCTGAATCGTGGCTGTTCATTGCTCAGCTTGCCTTGGTGAGCGCCACTTTGACCAGCACTTGTTTGCCGGACGCTGTGGCTGTGGATCAGCGGCGCAACCTGACGAACATCGCAGGGGAGTCCTACCCCGTGGGGGGTGGGGGTGTTTACATGGGCCAGCGCAGGGCTGACCAGTGCAATGATCGAGATTCTCACCGAAGAAGTCTTGGGATACAACACCCGAAGCTGAGTTGCATTGGACGATGGATTCTTATGACGGTGAGCCGGTTTGGTGTGTGTGTGCCCCTTGTAGTCACAGGGATTCTTTTGAATTGTTTTCTTTTACCATGAGGGGGGGCACAGGAGGCCCATACAGCTGTGCCCAACGAAGCTCTCTATGGTGACCTCAGGATATGCAGCCTGATCAGCTGCGGGTACCTGTTTGAACTATTGAAAAGCTTTGACTCCAATTTCTAGTAAAGTGCTAATGGGCTTGGCAGACATGAGCGTACGACGTCATCTCGACCTGCTCGTCGCTTTCGGTCTTGAGCTTTTGGCCCTTTCTCCTTTTGAAGACCTCCAGGCTCCATAGGGTTCTCCTGGACTTTTTAGGATTTGGTTTCTTAGGCTGGCGTGTGGCGTGTGGCATTCAGTTCCGTACGCCCAATCATAAGTGTGTCTCTCCTAGTCAGAGCCCGGGATGAGCCCCTAGAGTGCCTCGCGCGCCCAGAGCGGGCGTAGGAGGCGTATGCCAAAGTTATTTGCCAAGACTTGCTGAAGTATTGAATTCCAAGCTGGCTCATGCCTTTACGTGACAGCAGCGGTCAAAGCAGCCAGCCATTATGGCACGGCGTACGTGGCCGTAGCGGCCCAAGTTCGTTTAGACTCATGGAGTCTGTCGCGACCTTAGCCCCCTTCCTCCTCCCCTCCCCTCCTCTCTCTCCTCCATTTTTTGTCCTCTTGGGGTGTTCCTGAATGTAATACTTTTCTCCTTCCTTTCCTTTCCCTCCTTCTTGTTTGGGTGCTCTCCCTACCCCTCCCTCCCGTCGGGACCTTAGAGTAAGATGCTACTAGGGGCTCCTGGCCTTACTACTAGGTGCAAGGACGCTACTTTGACGCTACTAGGGGTTCCTGGCCTTACTACTAGGCGCAAGGACGCTCTAGGGCAGAGATGCCGTTTTGGGGAGGCGTGTGTGTGTGTGCCCCTTGTAGTCACAGGGATTCTTTTGAATTGTTTTCATTCACCATGAGCAGGGGGGGCACAGGAGGCCCATACAGCTGTGCCCAATGAAGCTCTCTATGGTGACCTCAGGATACGCAGCCTGATCAGCTGCACGTACCTGCTGTTTGAACTTTTGAACAAGCTTTGACTCCATTTTCTAGTAAAGTGCTAATGAGCTTGGCAGACATGAGCGTACGACGTCATCTCGACCTGCTCGTCGCTTTCGGTCTTGAGCTTTTGGCCGTTTCTCCTTTTGAAGACCTCCAGGCTCCATAGGGTTCTCCTGGACTTTTCAGGATTTGGTTTCTTAGGCTGGCGTGTGGCTGTGGCATTCAGTTCCGTACACCCAATCATAAGTGTGCACACGCAGGTTTTCTCAGATTGGACTGTCAGGAGTGGAGCCAACGCCGATGTCATCCAGCGTGCAGGGGATGTATGGCGCTCTCGGGTGTGTCACATGGTACGATGCCGATGACCGTGGTTGTGACAACCGCAACTTTGCTCGCTATTTTCATTCGCTTCATGCCGTTTAGTTTATAGCAACATTTGAATGACATTTGTGGCGTTTGTGTTACATAGTCACATAGTGGCCTATTTGTTTGAGTTCGCAGGTAAAGTGCGCATTCACATGGTGATGGACAGTTGGTGGTTAACCTTTCCCAACATCATTGCTACCCTCACCGAGCAATATCAGGCTGCGTAGTATAGCTTTGTTGTATGGCGGACGCTTCACGCTGATCATGAGAGGAACTCCCGAGCCGTAATGCGTGTTATTTCTTTTTGCGGACCCGTCGCGGCAGCACAGGGTGAGATGCCCGTCTCGGGAGGAAGCATGGGCTATAGAGGTGCCTCGCTCTCACACTTGCCACGGGAAGCAGCTTCATGCATTGCTTGTGTGAGTTTTGCTCAAAAGTAGGAAAATGCTCAACACCTGCGACGTCCAAAATGTTGGTGTCCAAACTGATGATTCACTAAGGTGGTTCTGGCATGTACGTGCCCCGAAACGTTTTGGACACTGGAGCAGCGGAGGGAGCTGCTATGGAGTACTACAAAAGCTACAATGCAAGTGTCCTGGCCGAGTTGGAGAGGGCCAACGACAATCTGCCTCAGTGGGTTGAAGCAAGCGTGGGGCAGCTTCGGGGATGCAATTTCTGTAGAAATTGTGCCCCAACTTAGAAGGCATCAAGGGGTGTGGCTGTGTAGCTCCTTTTGGCGATGTGGCGGTTTTCTTCTCAGTGACACAACGCACCAGTTGGGGCATTGAAGCTGCGAGCAGCTTCATAGGTGCAAACCCGGAGAACGCCGTTTCTTCCCTGCACGCTCCTTCACACCAGGAAGGCATCAGTACACCGTTTCCTCCTGGATTTAGTATATCCCAGCCCCCATGAGTCCGTTTGTTGGGTTTCCCAGCCGCTTGTGCGCAATGCGGGGGATCGCAGTGCTAAGATTTGCACACTTGTTGAAGAGTCTTCTGGTGATTTCAGCAGGCTGGCATCAACCTTGGAAGTACTTCGACAATGTGACCGTCCTCAATACCAGTGCGGAGTTTATGCCATGCGCCGCCACTACAATGTCGCTCAACTCAACCGCCTACAACTATTGGAAAATGAGTGGCGACGATGCGGGGGTGGCTTGAGGCTTAGTCCTTAGTCGAATTCCAGGAGTGCAACTTCTGTTTCAAGGTTCAAGGTTCACGGTTCAGTTTTGTGCGAACCTAGCCAAACACACTCTTTCCACAACAGGTCATCACAGGAAACACGTATACGGCCTTTTGCCCAGACGGCTACACTTGGATGGCTCCTTCTTGCAGGCGACGGCTTCGGTGACCTGGGATGTACAGGTACAGATAGGTACAGTATATATAAGTGTAGCACTTCGTTAATCATGGAAGACTTCTTTCTTGTTCTGCACACCCTTGTTTTGCCCCGACTTGCTCCACATCAAACATATCGCTGTAATTCGCTGTACTGCGTTGGCAAAACCCAGCCAGACCCAGCCTTCTATGTTTGGCGGTCGCGAAGTGAGACGAGTGGGTCTGGGGAAGGGAAAGGCTCTTGTCCCACCGGCAGAGGGGTGGGGATGATGGCACCTCGCCTCCGTTCATTGAGCTAGCTTGTTTTGGATTTCTCATGTCACAAAGTTAGTTTGTTGGGAAAGCAGGTTGCAGTTGGGCCATTCATGAATGAAACGGAAGCGCTGAAGTACATGTATCGGGTTCCGAATTCAACTCTAACATGCTTGTCAAATCAAAAAGCGTCGGATGAGGCGCAATACCGCACCTCACTATGATACACATGACTTGGCAACACCTACAGTGCCCAATGCTACCAGCTACTGTGTACACACCCACAAACATGGTGGTAGCGGCAGTGCCTTTGTTTTTTAAAGTCATATATTTCTTTTGCACCGTCTCATTTGTTTCCAACGTTTTTGGTGTTTCTGCATCGAGTATGTTGTTTTTGAAGAGGTCCAAAGGTTACTCGGAAGGTCTGTTTTTAGGTGTTGCACTACAGCTTTGAAGACATGGGGTCCAACAGAGCCCGCATGCTACCAGAACGCACAGCGCGCAAGCAAGAAACATGTCAAACGCACAGCGCCTTACGGGCGCTGCGCCAGAAATATGGACAGCAAAGCCATTTTCCAACTAGGAGCAAAGGGCATCGCCATTAGGAGCAAGGACGCTACTAGGGGCTCCTGGCCTTACTACTAGGGCACGAAGCTATTAGGTTCCTTTTTGCTACTAGGAGCAAGGATCATTTCCAAACTCTTGTCACAGCAGGCCATATTCGTTTGAAGAGATCAACGCCTCACTGCGAGACTTAGTCAATCCACACAGACGGGGGGGGGGGCGACAGGCCAGCCCCCATACCTTAACAGATTTTTCAGCCCGGCCAGCCATTCAGGTTGAACTAAACTTGTTCCAAAGCCAAGCGGCTGAATGTGTTTGTATGTTGTTTTTTTTTTTTTTGTTTAGTTCAGTTGTGCTTTGACATTATACATGTTTGCTCCTGAATGATTCATGCACACGTGCATGATTAATGAAAGTAGACTTCACATCAAGCTGCCTTGACCTAAAAACAATCACTGCTCTGATTTTTTGACCCGGCGTGCAGGAGCAATCCTTTGACATGCATCATGTTCATCACGGGCGGCGATGGTTGGGATGTGTCACAAGGCCAGGCCCAGAACATGCTGTCAGGGGTCTCGGTGACATGCCTTGACATATGTATACACTTGGTTATACTTGTATATACTGTAAAAACATATAAGCACAATATATAGTAGTATTTTTTGGACTTCCTACGACGGTATCGTGAGGGCAAAGGTACCGAAACTGTCCATGACTAGCATGTGCAGACTTTGCGCGAGGTTTGCAGCGAAGCGCAGTCTTCAACATTCCCTTGATGATTGGAGTTGCAAATTCTTGGGCCAATTATTTGGCCCTCCCGCCGCAGTACAAAGCCTTGATCCTTGGCTTTGCTTCATTATTCTCTACTGTTGCCTTGAAGTGACCAACCTGCAACATGACTAATGTCAACATAGAATTAACCAACCCCCCTCAAGCCCAGCTGGAGCCAAGCCCAGCTGCCCCAGAAAAACAATTAATATAGTTTACTATTGTATTTATAATTCTTTTTGTTTACTTTCTTTTTTGCTAGTATTCAATATTTTCTGGTCATGGCGAAACTGATCTTCTGATCCACCTTGTCTCATGCCATCTCTTTGAGAGATAGCATTTCCATCCTTCCCTGTTAAAGCACAAAAAAAATCACTAGCAAAATCCTGTCATTTTCATCTTAAGGTTTTCAAGCTCACAAAGGGTACCCCTCACACAGGCCCGCCATCCCTCCCTCTAAAGCCGACCCTCTGTCCTCCATCTTGTGTTCAATCTCTTTCATCCTGCAATCCTCTTTCTTTTCCTAATCATCCCAATCAACCATCATCAGGTCCAGGTCCTCATCTCATCATCCAAAAACTCACATCATCATCTCTTTTTTAGGGAATGTGGTTTCCAATCCCTCCAACCCCAAACATTATTGACCTTGTTGACCTTGAAGGGGGGGGGGGTTGATTAATCCTACGTCGACATTAGTCAAAACATTGGCTGATGGTCCGCAAAGACAGGGGTAAGACAAAGACGCACACCAGCGCAACCGGAGCGTTTCACACATGGGCAACGCATCTTTGAACTCCTGACTCTTGCAGGCATGCTGCAGTTTACGCAAAGAGACAAGTGGACTGACGGTGAGCTATGCCAGGGATCACTGCATGTCATGCCAGGGATGACAGAAAGACATCATGTCGTGCCAGGGATGACATCATGTCATGCCAGGGATGTCATCAGCGATGACATCATGTCTTGCCAGGGATGACATCATGTCAGGCCAGGGATGACATCATGCGTGGCAGGGACGATATCCTCTCACATTGTTTCCGGCAAATTGATGCGTATGTTGCCTTGTGGTATGCATCGATTACATGGTGTCATGCCAGGGACAAAGTCATGTCACGCCACAGGCGACATGCTGTCGTGTTGCGTATGACAGCGTGTTGTGCAACAATGATTGTATTGTCGTCCGGGCAGCTTCGGTTGGTCCTTGCCAATCTTGCAGTTTTACGTTTGATAGATGTTGCGCAGTATGTTGCACATATTGGTGGACTGGTCTGATGTTATGTGCTGCGGTGACAACCGTCCGTGGCGTGTTCTTTAAACCTATACATCCGCTATCTGGGGTCTATGCGGGTGTAATTTTAAAGGCCCTGTTCGGATGAGCACACATCTGGAAAGCAGGTGATTCCCAATCTTCAAGCGAATCGTTTCTTGACTGCTCCGTTCCCAGTGACTTCAGCGTGCCGTCTTAGACAGGTCAGAAATGTGGAACAACAACTTGGGCAAACGTGCAAAATCTGAGCGCGAAATGCAGCAGGGAATTTCAGTGACCGCAGCCGAGTGGTGCCGAATGCATAGGAACGCGCCTGCTAACCACCTCAGCATTCATTGTTGTGTCATGTTGCTTGAGGTTGAAGCCAGGGGTCGAAAGCCGTGTTTTTTTTTGTTCATCGGTGAGCCAAGGCTGTATTGGTGGACGCCAGACAACTCATTCTTGGAGCTGGACCCGAAGCCATTTGTTTTGCCGCCCCAGGACAAATTCGCCTACAGCCAAGGAGATGTCACGACGGCGTCCGAAAATGTTGATATCGCCAAGGTCATCAGTTTCGACTTGGACTTCATGGCGCCCAACTTGGTGAAATTGTTGGCCCAGAGCCAGTTCCGAGGCTGCAGTGTGCAAGACAAAGGGCCAAACACCAAGCTTTGATGTGTATAAGAATGCAGTGAAAAGTCGGGTGGGGGTGGGGCATGTTCTCAGGATTTCATTGGATGAGATCAATGACATGATGCGCACATGGAAGGCCAATTCTTCCGCTTCGCGGCACGAGGTGGCCTGTGACTGGCTGCAGAAGAACGAGAACACGAAGTTGGATCCCCGATCCGACCGTTTGCAACCGAGGCCTGGAAGAAGTTACTCAAAAACTTGGAAACGATGCGCAAAAACATCACAAGGATGACCAGTTTGTCCCCCAAATGGCTGTTGTTCATGGGGGGTTCTTCATTGCAACAGGTTTCCCCGAGTGAAAAGAATGACCTTGCAGAGGCTCTGGGCTTTATAGTGAGGAGACTGGACAGTTCACAGCGACACGAGCAGCCGCTGATTCCTGCCGAGCTTGTTCACCGGGCATGTACTCTACTCCACTGCAAGACAATGTGGGGAACACCTATGTGTTTCTTGGATGAGCCACAACAGCCACCACACAACATATTTAAAAACACCGGGGCAACCGACCACATTTTGCGTCGCCTGTTTGGGACCGACCGGGTACGGGTCGGGTACCCCAGACTGGTGCGAGGTGTCAGGCGTGCCCTGCTGGAACTCAGCAACTATCAGCTGGAGCAGTGGAATGCGATGCGTGTCCCAGTGGCACTTTCAAAGCTGATCAGTCAGTTGATGAGTGTGCTCCATGCGCCCTGGCAGAAGTAAAGGTTTCTGATTTCGGTTGAACGTAGTGGGCAACCTGTGACCCGACGGCCACCTGCCTGAGGCCTTTCAGGCTACTACCAAGATGAGCTCGGGACGCTGGCCTGCAAGAAATGCCCGGAGGGCACGACGACTCTGCTTTTGGGCACCAAGTCAGGATCGGGTCAGTTCAGTTGCAAGGCATGCTGAGATGCAATGCATCCAAACCTCAAGAATCTAAGGCAAGAGGCAAGGAAATCTTGTGCCATTTGTATTCATATTGGAGTGTAGGGGTGGATTGCCTTCCTTTTCAAGTCCTGCAGGACTTGCTTGCGGCTGCGACGAGGGCAGCATCGACGTTTCAGGCGACTCTTGATTGCCGGCAGCGCCATTGAGAGATCAAAACATGTTGGGCTCAGTGGTGCGCTTGGCAAAGGGCAAAGCTTTTCGATCGTTTGGTCAAACCCGCTGATACTCATTTTCGAGTGCGGTGCCAAGGATTTGTCCACGCCTGCCCTGTGTCAGCCATGTATGGAGGGGCTTACATGCCCAACTATGTCAAGCCTGGAGAACTTGAAAGCAGGTTCTAGCCCATTGGGCCCGACAACTGTTCCGCAGGCAGGATTGATTTCAGTCAGATGTTGCAGTCTATCGGGACAACAGACGACAACTGATGTGCTACGCCAGCTATGCCGTTTATGCTGCTGTCGGGCTCACCCGTGTGAACAGCTGAGTGTTCTGATTACATGTGCGTTTGTGTTGTGCTTTCCATAGATTGAATGGCTATGCCTGGCAGGTTGAAGCGGGCTATTTCACCACAGCTGCCGATCCATTGGTCACCTTCAAGTGTGTCAATACCTTGGATTGTCCTGGAGGCACGCCCGGCACTTGCGGCGGAGCCCTAGAGGGAGTCCCTTGCGGAGATTGCCCTCAAGGTACATTCTATGCCGGCGAGGCTTCCTGTGATGAGTGCTCAGCGGGCGCCGTGATTGCTTGGATCGTTTCTTTGGGCGTGGTCCTCCTTGGCCTGATTGGGGCCTACCATTTCCTGAACTCCCCAGTCACCGCAAAGGCATCCACGCTTTTCAGCACGACATGTGCGATTGGAATGATGATCAACCTGTTGCAGAACTTGGGAATCATTGGAACCATGTCAGTGCCTTGACAGCGCCTTGACAGCGCCAGGTTTTTGTTGCGGATCTTAAGCATGTGCTGCCCGGAGAAAACATGTAAAGTGGTGCTTCCTTGTTGCGCCCAAAGCTACAAACTTGTCTTGAGCAAAAAGCCTGTGTAGTCTTACCTCAGGGTTTGAGCAATCCGCCTCATTGTGACTGTGCATTGCGCATGTGGGATCATTCAAGGAATTTGCACCAAAACTGCAAATCTCAAATCCCCAACAGCCAGGTGCCTTGGCCTGTGGATTTGGCCGGCTTCTTCAGCTTCATGGAAGTCTTCACCTTCGACATTGATAGCCTGGCTTTCGCTTGCATCGGTGGCGCGCAGCCGGTGTGGCGCTACATCTTCACGGTGTGCTTCTTCCCTGTGGGCATCCTGTGGTTGGCCCTCTGTGGTGCAGTGAGTCGATGCATTCCCAGGCTGCAAAGCTGGGATCCGGCCACATGGCGGCGAATTCGGGTTGACCATGACAGGTGGTTCCAAGGTGGTTTAAAGAGAACCTTTAACTTTCGCAGGCCACTTTAAGAAAGCCTAGCATATGCTCTGAATTCTTACAGCTTGGCATGCTTAGGTGAAAGTACGGAGCACCATTGGTCAATTTCTGCAAGTGGGGTTTTCAACCATGAGCAGCACCGCTTTGGTGCCTTTGGTTTGCTATTCGCATCCCAGCGGACAACGAAGCAACTTCAAGAACCCCAACATCATTTGTGGCTCCGAGCCGCACACGGTGATGGTGATCTTTGGCAGCCTGCTGCTGGCGTTTGGCTTCCTGAAAGCACTGAAGAGATCTGAAGAGTTCGTGAGAATCTCTGCAGCCCCTGCCCATGACCCCCTCCATTAACCTGGGTCTAGGCCTAGTGTGGTTCAAATATGGTCCTACCAAGGCCTACTGGTAGGCAGGTTGCGCTGGGCGGCGGCGATTGGGACCATGATGATAATTGGGATTTCTTAAGCTAAGCAGGTCATTTCGTCGTGTGTGTGCGCGCGCACCTTAGCAGGGGGGCTCGTGGACGGATAGATGAGAAGGCGTGAGCCAACGATGACCCATCTATGTCGTCGTCGAAACGCACCTGCGTTTGACCGGTCCTTGAGTTTTGGAGACCTGAGACTTACCTGTGTTCCAGGATGTTGGAACACTGCTGCGGGTCCCTTCCGTACGTACCCTGAGTCTCTTTTTGTAGTAAATTTACAGGCATTGATTTTACGTAATTTTTGTTGCTTATACTAAGGACAACTTACGTAAAATTTTAAGCAAATAGTAAAGTAAATAGCAAAGTCCTCTTTAATATACAAAGTAGTTTTTAGTATGCAAAGTAAAATTTGGAAAGTATGTAAAACAACGGTTTTTGATGACGTGCTTTACGCTTTGGCTTCGATTATTGGATGGTTGAGGTTTATTACACGTGTGACTTTTGGAATCTAAGCGATTTTTGCTGCGAAGTGTATGCGCTTCAACACTCATGGTTGGCAGTTCTGCCTAGCAAGGCGGCAATCAGTCTGAACCTCCGCAGAAGGCGCAATACAACGCCCCAGTCCACCGTGGGAACAACACGCAGAGGAGGCGGAGCAACAGCAGGGCCCCCATGCGCCCCAATAGTTGTGCACTTGCCATGCCGTAGATGCCCACTAGGTTCACCCACCATTCATGATTCAGTTGGGCCACTTGGAACCTCCAGTCTGACGGGTCTCCTCCTCTTCGGCTCGGTCCAAGCCATGAATAGTGATCTTCCGGGTCGCAAGACGGGCCTCCCCTCCACGCAATGTGTGTTTCAGCTGAAAGAATCCAACCTCCCGGCACCCACAGGGCGGAATTTTCAGGAACGTATCATTTTCTTGGGCGTCCGGCTTGCGCTTGATTCGCCCTTGCTCCAACGGTCACAGGACACTTGGCACTTCCGCACATCCCTATGGAGCAGGTGGTTTTGCGGCCTCCACTACTCTTAGTCCAGACAGCACTGAGATTTCAGCCAACTGCAAGGTGTGAAGATCACTGGCATGACACTGTCAAACACTGACTGTGTGACCTCCATCAAGAAGCACTGAATTCACTGGCGTGGTCTTAGGAGTAGTCACTCACTGCTCTCCAGACTTCAGACTGTGAAATTTAAAGCTGACGAAAGCTATGTCACTGATGCTCACTATGGCATGAACACTTGCACTGGGCCTGGAAACGGGTGACTTTCAACTCTCTCAAGACAGGCACTGTAGACTGGGTAGAGACTGTGTTGTGTGGATGCAGTGCACTGATGAACACTGACACAAGAAGGGGTGTTAAAGGACACTCTCACTGATGGCTATGGTCACTATGCCACTGTCTCACTGTACACTTTGGATCAAGGCCTCACGCGCTAGCTGGACACTGGAGCCATACACTGCGCCCAAAAAGCCTCGACTGATCACCTTGTGAACTGTGGAACTTGAGACTTTTTGACACTACGAGATTGAGCCCTTGAATTTTTGAGTTGTTGTTTTCTGTTGTCTTGATCTATTTGCACTGGCTATGCTTAGAGGGGGGCTTAAAGGATATCAACTTGCCTGCCTGCTTGGTTGCCTCTGTGGCGGGCAGACAAGCGACGCCTTGACAAAAGAGGGGGGAAGAGGTATGAAAACAGGCCGAGACGAGCTCCATTGTGGATCACTGTGGATCTCAAAATTCAAAAAATGGCCTCTGCGGCCACTTGCGCCGCTATGGACTATGGACTGTTGATGTCCTATGGGCTGCCCAAAGTTCAGTATGACAACTTAGCCGGCGACAACACTTGACGAGGCTCCTGTCGTCCGCCATGGAAGTGCTTCACTACTGTCACGGTGACAAACCGCAACCACCGGTTTTGCCGGTCCACGGGGGGGCACTCTGCGCTCTTGGCCCGGGCCCTCATCCGACAGACACACTTGAAGTAAATACGTCGTACACTGAGTCTCTTTTGTAGTAAGTTTAATCTTTCATTGATTTTGTAAACTAAGAAATTTAGTTTAGTTGGCTACTAAATTTCCAACCAGCAAGAAAACAACATAGAAACAGCATAGAAACAGCATAGAAGCTGCGTAGCAACTTTTCCACACATTTTTCAAAGCGTGCATCAACCTTGTACAAAAACATTTTAGTGAGCTGCAATCATTTCATATTCAGTCACTCGTAGTGGGATTTCTCACATGTCCCTTCAAAGGTCTCTCACAACTCAAGTACTCGAAATACAAATTCCCCATAAGGACTTGAGCCAACTGTTTGAACCAGGACTTTGACACACAAGTCATTCACAAGGATCTGTGACAACTTTCATCACAACAGTACTTCGCACAAGAAGTGGCTCATGGGAAGTGGCTGGAGTGGCTGGAGTTTGTGTCTGATGGGGAGGCCGCATCCAGGAGGTCAGACCAGGAGGATGAGCGTCAGCAGACAGACCACGAGGAGGAGAAGATGGACAAGGAGGACAGGAAGCGCAGCATTGGCTCGTCTGAAGATGAGAAGGAGGAACCTCAGAATAAGAAGCGCGTGGTGAAAGAGATGGAAAGATGGTGAAGGAGTGAAAGTGTCAGTCAATCATATTTGTTGTGTTTATGTACAAGATTTCAACTATGTTGCAACCCAGGCTTTAGTTCTAAGTGCATGGATGAATACTTCCAAACCCATAGAATTGCAAAACCTTGTATCCTCCAGCATGAAGATGCAGAGACATCACCTGCACAGGCACTAGACCTGCAGGATGAAAATGCGCTACCTGTGCCAGGGTGGTTGACGTTATACTTTTGAGTTTGTACTCATTATGGAAATCTCTTTTGGCGTGAGCTGTGCTTGAGAAACCTCTGTGATGCTTGAGTTTTACATCACATGCGCAAATGTAATTGAGAAGCTTTACTTGAGCAGCCTGATACTTGAGTTTTACATGTGAAGATGCACTTGAAGTACTTGGGTCTCCAGGGTCTCAAATAAAGGAAACTGTTCACAAGTAAGGTCACAAAGTCTCAAAATACAGGAAACTGTTCACAAGTAAGCCTCAAATATGCTCAGGTAGTCTGGCAAGCAGATCTCATGTATTGTTTCACCCCCTGCAAAACTTACACTTCCAAACTTCTCAAGTAAGCACGGGCCCTCAAAGTACAGGAACTTTACAGAGTTTCCTCCACTTCTCGCTGGAGACCCTTTGAGTTGGTGCACTTCTCGCCTTCTTGCGGAGATCAATACCTGGCTGGGATTCGTCGCCCACGCCCAGCAGTTCTGCGAGGCCAGATGGCGGAACGCATCAAGGTCAGGGCATTCCCATCCTGGACCAACCTTCCCATCACTAGCAAGGCCATTGAGAATGCTATGGGCAGCGTTCAATGGGCAACGCTGCTGGGCCTGGAACTTCGAACAATAATTTCCCAAGGACGGGAACTGCCAGAAACGCATTGCGCCTTTGGAACTCTTGGGCTCTTCTCCTGTGCCATCATCTACTGCGCCAACAAGGAGAGATTCCAGGGCGCCTCCGCCTACCGGTTGGCAGCGACAACTCCAGCAACGTCTTCAGTCTTCAGCCTTTTGAGCCTGTCTTCTAAGAAGCCTCACACGGCGGTGATTCTGATGGAGCTGGTGCTGCTGCTGCACTGGGAGGGGTGTAGTGTGGCCCCGAAGCCACATACCTCGAGAATATAACGCCCGGCGGATGAACTTACCCATACCTGATACAAAATGTTCTGTAGATCCCTTTGGAGCTTGGTTGGGAGATTTTTGAGTTTGAGTACATGTGAGCAAAAAGTGTCAGTTGCGGTCCGCAGTCGAATTCTCAAGACAGTCTCTAACTTAGTTCAATCAGCTGTAAAGTAGTCAAGCAGTCATGCAGTGTTCAGTAGCTCCTTTGAACAGTGTCCTACAAAACAGTATGCGTGCAAATGTCTTAGTGAGGGGATCGGTGCATTTTATTGTAGTATGTTCTTTCTTCAGTTGGAGAGCGCCACGCGCAACTAAGGCCTGCGCGCGCAAAAGCGAAGTTCAACATGTAGTTTTGTTTTATTTCTGGAACCAAACCGTGATGTCATGCTTCTCTATTCCTGGTCCGGTTTCAACATTTTGTTTCTTCCTTCTGCCTCTCGCCCGTGGCGCGAGCCAGCGAAAACAGATCGCTGTAGTTGCGGAGATGTGGCTGCGTTGATCTGAGTCTGGGAGGCAGCTGGAGGTCTCAAGCTCTTGGCCCCTGCAACAACAACAATTCCCCGTGCCATTGCAACGGTTGTGTTCGCCGGACACGCGATTGGACGGAGGAATGAAATTTTGGAAACCTGAGACTTGGATGTGCTTGCTTCATAACATATGTTGCCGGACGTTCGAGCACTACTGCGTGTCTTGCGCGTGTTCTGCTCAGGCTTTTAGGGCTAGGAGCGGCTAGGATTCTTCAAGTGGTGGCCTGATGCTTTCCGCGCTTCGGTTCACGGTTGCTCCACTTCAAGTAAGAAACACTGAGGCGTTTGCGGGTTTTTGGCTCTTTGCGCATGGTTGGCGTACATGTGCCCAACTTTCAGCAGTACAGGGCGTTATGGCATGATCCAGAGCTCACGATTTCTCCTTGGCCGTTTCCGTCTCGATGTTTGGTGGTATGGCGTGCCCCTTCTCTTGCGTGGACTCTTGGCGCTGAGAGAGACACCGTGGTCGCGGCGGTGTGTGTGTGGTTGGGTGAGGTGTTCTCGGATAGGGGGAGAATCGCAGTTTGTTCTTCGTGTGTGCGTGCCAAGACAATGTTGAAAAGATTTCTCCCCAATCGTACGTGTGGAGTTGGTTGTACGGAGGTGGAAAGTGTATGTGTAGCATCGTGAGTTTTTTCCTCACGCGTGCTTGGCATCCATGTCGGATTTGGCGATTCACACATTTGAGAGGGCATAACGGTGTAGCGGTGTAGCTGAACCCGTTCACTGACTGGTGGTATGTTGACAGGCGAAAAAGACGCGCTGAGGTCTTAACTGGTAAGCCATCCATGGCTTGGTGTGACACAGAGCTGTCAGGTATTTGGTGACAAGTGGCTAGGCTTCATGCTTCATGTTGGCCCTCGCAAGTATATATGAGTTGTAGATATTCAGGAAATGGCCAGAACCCTAATTAAAGGTACAAGAGTTTGGACAGGACAAGTCCCATTGACACTGCCACGTGAACAGCTTTGCTTGGCTCTGACAGGTCCGCTGTTGGCCATGAGTGCAGTGATCTTCCCAGATTCGGCGGCAATTCAAATCTTCTGCTGCCAAATTATTCTGATCTTCTACATTTGTGTTCAGGTTGGATTGAGATTTGCCACCTTGTTTTTGCCCGCTGCACGTTTATGAGCGCCCGCTGCCGACGCCACGTGTAGGACTTTTTTTTTGTGGTTGCCCCTGAGGTGTACAGTTGGCCATGGAAAGCTCCTATGTTGAACATCGTGGACTTTGTTACCTGTTTGGCCTTGGCAATCTTGGTGGTGTTGACCGGCCTCTATGTGCCTGAAGTCACTGGCGACACACTCCGTGCAGTGCAGACCTGCAGCATGATCTTGTTGGGCATCATCTTTGGAGTGGTTGGCCTGATGATTCTCTTGGCAATTGCGGCCTTGTTCCACCGTGCTGCGATCGGTAGCCAGCAGGATTGACACTTCAGAATTGGATGCAAATTCATTGGTTGTCAGGTTTCTTTTTTCAGAGTGGTGATGGTGATCCGGAAGTCGCTATCCAGCCGCGTGATTCGTGATTCGTTTCGTGGCTCGTGATGCGTTATTCGGCCGCGTGATTCGTGATTCGTGCCGTGAAATGGTATTTTTGCATGGCCCTGCGTCTATATGCCCCACGGTTTGGAGTACATTTGTGGTACGGAAACACATTTATGATGCATTTCATGTTTTGCGCTGTGATTCACGAGATCAGCCATCAAGGACGAAGAGCGGAAGAGAAGACCCACCTTCAGTCTTGAGAATGTGCCAAGCACAAACGCAGGATGCGACGCATCCTCCCCAAATGCGATGCCTCAAGTGTACCTGTTTGACGATCGGTGCGCCATGCTTTTAGTTGATGTCCAGGTTCTTCATCTCAAACAGATGCCTGTCCTGATGTGGTTGATGCGAGCTTAGTATAGTTCCATCAGACACGCTAGGGTGTGCTCCGTTTCCATGACTCTTCCTTATGTAAACTTTACCCTCTAAACGCAACAATTTCGGACGGCGCGCAAAAGGTATGCTAGGTAGCTCACAGCAGAATCTAAAATCCGGGTGGCTCGCAAAAGGATCAGAAGGTATGTTCCGTTTCCATGGCTCTCGCCCTGCGCTCACAAAAAGGCGGGCCACATTTCAACACTTTTGCGCTCTGCGTTTTACTGTCAGGCGGCTCACAGCAGCGTGCCCTCCTACGACTTTACCTCAAATGGCTCACGCAAGGTATGCTACGTCTCTTATTCCTTTTAGTTTGGCCCTCGGATGGCTTGTTCGAGAAAGGTATATACTACTACTCCTACTACTTCTACTACTACTACTACCACCACTACTACTACTACGACGACGACCACCACCACCACCACCACGACCACCACGACCACCACGACCACCACGACCACCACGACCACCGCGACCACCACGACCGCCACGACCACCACGACCACCACGACCACGACGACCACGACGACCACGACGACGACGACCACTATACGACTACGACTACGACGACGACTACGACTACGACGACGACTACGACGACGACTACGACTACGACTGCCACTACGACTACGTCTACGACTACTACGACTACTACGACAACGTATACGACTACGACTACTACGACGACTACTACTACGACTACTACTACGACGACGACGACGACGACTACTACTACTACTGATACTACTGATACTACTAGGACTACTACTACTACTACCACTACCACTACCACTACCACTACCACTACCACTACCACTACCACTAC